CGGGACTGAGGAATTTGTCGACCAAGTGGACGACTCTGTTTACTTTGTTAATGAATCGCATAACGGAGAAGTTATTTTTTATATAATTGTTAAACTTTTTTCGTTAAAAATTTACTATGATTTTTGAGGCACTTTAGAAGTTCACCTTTTTGTGCTTTACAGGTGATGTTTTTTTGAGTTCTAAGTTAGGCTGAAGGTATTTTTTTGTTGAATGTTGTGATAATTAACGATTTATTTTAATACAGAAGTTAACCCCACATAATTGCTTATTTGCCAATTTATTTAAATTTTTGCGGGATCCAGCAGATACCGGGATCCCGCGGGATTAACATCTAGCAATCCCGCAAATACCGGGATTGAGATTTTGCTGCGGGATTGCATTCCTTAATACCTACGCACTGCAACTGGAAGTTAAGAAAATCTCTGAAAATGCTTTGTTAGAGAATGTCAGCAGCATTCCAGGAAATAAAATTGAAATTCTCGTCGAGAGTTTGATCTAAAGTGAAATCTACAATATCGAATCAATTCGAATTTAGATTTCGTCATGTAGCGACACTAAGATTAGCGCGCTACAATTTTCGAAACTAATAAAGATGTCTCGTTCCATCTTAAAACCAAATTGCTCGTGACACAAAGAGGCAGCACAGAATAAAACGCGAAACGCTACCCCATAAAATAGTAATAGAAACTCGTAACTAGGTTTATGACCGTCCGATTCCTTTCTGAGCGGAAGATGGAAAAAAATGCTAATTACGAAAGCTCAGGAGGAAAGACAAACAATTTTTACTTGATCCAGTTTTGGGAAGCAATTTTCTACTACGATTAATCTCGAGCGAACATATAAAGAAGTTAAAAGTTTTGTTTCTGAGATGAAATTTCGGGATTTTATTTCATAAGGCCGGTATAAAGGCAAATAGTGCGTTATATGTTTGAGGTTGGAGAACATCCATTTTCCGCTTTGCTGATTTTCCAATCAATACCTCCGCTTTGTACTCTCTATTTGTGCAACTCGAAATTGGAAGGTTCGTAAAACTTTAAATACAATGAAAAGCTTTTAGGGCACCGTTTCATATTTTCATGCTAATTTTATAACGTCGCTATAATGTCGGTTAAGTAGAAAACTGGGAGGGTAGACTGACTTTGCAAACACACACTTACTCACGCACTAAAAGCTCTTTTATATGGCGCGGTGTATTGTTGCGTACTAGTGGAGGTAACAATGCAGCACACGTTTTATTCCCTTTCAGCGTTTCGAGCATTGTCCTGTAGGGCATAGCATCCTTGTACATTGCGCCGCA